TTGTTCTATTTCCTTCACAAACAGTCTTCTGACCGTTCAAGGACAATCCCTTCAACAGATTGTGCTGAAAAAACTGGCTCACTACATGCAAAGGATGAAGCTGGACCCTTATCTTATGCCATATACAAAAACCAACTCCAAAAGGCACAGACTTAAGAGCAAAAACTATAAATCTCTTAGAAAAAAAAAGCTTAGGCAGAAAACCTCATGGCATGGGACTTGGCAATGATTTCATGGATATAACACCAAAGGCACAGACCACAAAAAGTAGAGAGATTGAACTACAGCTCAATTAAAAACTTCTGTACATTAAAGGACTCAAATAGCACAGTGAAAATACAACCTACAAAATGGAAAAAATCTTTCAAATCATATATATGGTAAAAAGCAATATTCAGAATAATATAGAACTACACACTCCCAACAAAACAATCTACCTAATTAAAAAATGCGGAAAGGACCTGAACAGACATTTCTTCAAAACGGAAATACAAATGACCAATAAATATAGGAAAAGGTATTTCAGTATCATTAAGCTCAGGGAAACGCAAGCCAAACACAATGAGATAGCGTCTCGTACTCATTGAAATGGCTGTTATTTAAAAAAACACACCAGGAGGTTGAGGCAGGAGGGTCACAAGTTCAAGTCCAGCCTGGATAATTACGCAACTTAGTGGGCCCTGTCTCAAAATAAAAATAAAATAAAGGCTATGGATGTAGCTCAGCGTGAAGGCCCTGTGTTCAGTCCTCAGAACTATAAACAATAAATGACAGCGATGATTCGAAGAAAGGGAATTTTTCTGCACTGTTCTTTGGAATGTAAAAAAAAAAAAAGTGTAGCACTATGGAAAACAGTATTAACAGGCTCTCAAAAACTTAAACATGAAGTTACCAGAATATCTAGCAATTCAAGGTTTGAGTACATTCACAAAGAATTAAAATCAGGATCTCAATGAGCTATCCACATACCCTTTATCACAGTGTGGTCGGGTGACATTTATTTTCTCTGCAACAGCTTGGTACTAGGGTACAAGTATCAGAACACCTAGGCTGGGTTGAGCTGTATTACAGCCCAGCCTGGACTGTCTTGTGACTGCCTGTCTGTCCGCCTTACCCGTTACGCGGACCCATGGAAGTAAGTTCCCAACCGCTTCTTAGCTCTGAGGATGCTGACTGCCACTCCATGGGCACCTGTCACTCCTCAGTGAGTGGCATCGGGACCATGTGGTTTCCCTTTGCCTTGAAGTTGGAGAAAGAGCTGCCTGAGGGTGGTCTAGGGGGTGGTCAGATGGAACTCCGGGTGCCTTCCTCCAGCCCTGTTATCTTCCTTTAAAGGGGGCTGAGGAAGTGCGGGGACCATTGCGGAAAAGGGTGTCCTATAAAGCAAGGATAAGAAATTCATTCTCGTCTCTCCACTTGAAGGGGCAGCGTCTGCAATTAACATTCACAAAGCGTGTTAGGAACCTGAAGCAAGAGGCAGTAATGGTTCTGTGTAGAATGATGGAATTGATTTTTCTTTCCACCTTTTTCTTTGTAGAGGCCAATGTGCCTCGCTAGCAGGTAATAATCCAGAAGGTTCATTTCACATTATTGGGCATATTCTCCCATGAACTTCCTACCCATCAAAACCCTTTTCCTCTTTTTCCACAGCTGGCATGGAGCACCCCAGAACGCCACACTTTTGTGCTGGTACCTCTGGGCTCCTACCCATACCCCACTGCTGGGGAGGTAGATAACTGGGGTGCTTTCTTCTCCACTGTGAGCGCTTCTAACTGTCCCCGCCAAAGCCTCATGTGGTCATAGGTGGGACTTTAACAGAAGTGGCTGGATCTAGAGTGTGTGATGCTGGAATTGATTTAGGGTGCAATGCTAGGGTCAAGGGCACAATGGGATTAAGGGTGTGAGCGCTACTCTCCCTAAGTACCCTGGATTAGATAAAAGGGGCAGAAAGAAGCTGCGAAGGCCCCTTGCTTACTTGCTTTTGCTGTCTTCTGCTTGCCATGAACTAGTTCTCCTCTGCAATGCCCCTCTGCCAAGCCACCCTGCCTTGGAGCCGGCCGATTACGGACTGAAACCTCTACAAACTGAGAGTGAAGTAAACCTTTCCTTCAGTAACTTTGGGTGTCAGGTATTTTGTCTCAGCAATGATAAAAGTAACTAAGACACCCACTCTCAACAAAAGGATGTTGCTGGGGGCTGGGGATTTAGCTCAGCGGCACAGCGCCTGCCTGGCAAGCGTGAGGTGGTGAGTTCGATTCCTGGTACCGAAAAAAACCAAAAACCAAAAAACAGCAGGATGTTGCTGCATACAAAATGCTTAAAACCAGCCCTCTTCTGCTTTCGAGTGCTGGCTGCTTCTGAAGTCACTATATTTAACATCAAAGTGTAGAAAGCAGCAGCCAAGAAACCAAGCCACTGGACTGTGAGGCTCCTCCGAGCAGGACTGCCTTAGGTTTCAGACTGCACGGGACGGTGCTGGGGAGAATACTATAAAAGAGCACTACCGCTGCTGTCGGAGTCCAGGCTTCGGGGCACTCTGACCCTTGTCCTATACCAGGCGGGAGGCAGCCTTTTCTGAATGGAGAAAATGCCACAGCAACAGCATTAGGGTGCTATGCTACTCCTGCACGGAAGGTGTGATGGGTGCTGTGTCTGACCACCCCAGCCCAGCTCTATTAGCACGTCACCAAGCGGTCAGCATTTTGCAACCAGGGCCACTGGTGTCTTCATCTTTATCCAGCCCCACAGAACTAGCTAGTGGGAAGGACCGGCTCTGTGGAATACTGTGTTTCTGCCACTGTACCAGGTTTTATTTTAGAATTCGACAATTTACGTGATAAAAGAAATGAGATTGAACTGCACTTTCCTCTGGCCTGGGGACTTGAGCATGTGAGGGAGCCCACAGTAAGTGGCCTCAGTTCCAATCAGATACAACTTTGTTCCCATTTGCCGGAAATTCTTTTATGAAGAGAAAAATAAGAATTGATTTGAGCTCCTCTGCCAGACTTACTTCCCTCATCTGTCTGAGCAGAGCCCAATATCCACAGTTCTGTTTGTGTGGCATTCCCAGCAAAATGAAAAGAAAGAAGTGTGCTTTTTGGGTTGGTTCCTTATAATCAAAATGAATATATATCTCTTAGTTTGAAAACTCAGAACCCCAGTAATTGAATAGAACGTACTGACCCTGAGGATAAGTTATCATGCCTTTGAACCCCTTGCTGGTATTATTAGAGGAAGGGAGAGGGTGAATATAAGGTTAATGGATTCTGCTGCTAAACTGAACTTGGAAATGAGGTTTCATTGATTTAATATTTCCTCTATTAAGCGTCCCAAGACTGTGTCCCTTGGGGGCCTACCGAAGAGCAATCTCAGTATGGCGC